TTGCTGTTTACATGCATGAAAAGTGTGTTTGAGAACGAGTCTGATTGCACAGGCACACACTCTCTACAACAAATTCCTGGCCGTTCAGTCCGAGAAATCTCAGCCATTCGAGGACAAAACCTGAGGCAGGGCAGGTCGAGCCAACACTACATGAACTCTGGGCCTGCCCTGGCTTGTGAATTCATTAGGCCGGAGTGCTGCTCCTCACGCACCAGTTCGGGAAGAAGGCAGACAGAGAGAGCGGATGGCTTCCATAGCTAGAGTGTGAGAGAGTGGTGGCCATAGGCAGTACAAGGTGATGATGCACCATAGACGTGGGTGAGAGAAGAGGTGGGATCTGTGGTAGAGTCCAAGGCTTGCAGGAAGAGGAAGTTACCTGGATCGTGCTTTACCCAGAGTGTTCAGCCATAGCTGCTGCAGAGGAGCCCAGTGGTTGCATGTGCTCGTCATTCGTTGTCCAAGACTCAGAGGCGGTGGCGTGGACCAGAGCTTGTCTAGTGGCATGCAGAAGACAGTCTGTAGTGGAGACTGGACGGAGGAGGTAAGCATTGTCTAAGGGTTGGCAAGAAGAGGGAAGAGGATTCTCGGCTGGTGGCCTTAGGTACCTGGTGAAGAAGACTCCCCAGAGAGAAGGGAGAGCGGCGCTCATCTTCCAAGCCTTCATTGTGTTGGTGCCTGTGCTATAGAGAAATAAGGCACTGGTGCTGATGAGGTCAAGAGAGGAGAGGAAAGGTCACCATAATTTCAGGGAGGCAATGTGGCCCTGACTGAGGAATGGAGACTCCATGCTGCTTCAGTGAATACAGCCATTGTCATTTTAAGTTCCAGCACTATTTAGCCACCCCGGGCTACGCCAGCACAGTAGAGAAATTGACTTGGCGAAGTTGGCAGGTGACATTGCTTGCGTCCAGTAGATTGACAGTGAAGGAGTGGGGAGATCCAAGCGAGTAGATACGTCGGGGTGGCGAGAACAAATCCCATGGGAAAAGAAAGGGAGAAGCAATTTGAACTTCGTGTTCATTGTTTATCTATGTTTTTGAGGTAGGTAGTCCCATGTTTTAGCTCTTCTTCTCCGCAGTCTTGTTGCTCATTGCTGCCTCCATTTGTTCCTTACCATTGTATAGAGGCTTCTGAGTTTATGTGAGATTTGTTTGTTATCATTGGGTTGATTACGCACTGATCCACCAGAACATTTGATAAAACAGTCCAGAAAACAAAAATGACGACCTCTTTCTTCCCCTGAATTCTTTTCGCTGCTACGAAATGCAAGCAAGATGCTGAAAATCAGTGGTGCGAGTGACCACTGACCAACCTTCCACTCCCCATACCGTTCATCCAATCTGGCAGGTATTCATTTGATATTCATTTGCTTCACTTGGTTCATATGACTTTCTGTTCACCGAAGTGGCGAGACCAAACAAAATCAATGTTGCAAATGCCAGGCCTCGATTCCAGGTCGAATTCCCTGTCAACACCATTTGAACAAATTGGTTGAAGGGTCGACTAACCTGTTGTTGCGCCGGTCTTGTAGGCAAGACAAGACTCACTCTAATTGTTTCTTCTTCCTCGCTTCATCACTCCCAAACTTCTGTCAGATGTGAAACTACCCAGGTTCTCTTCTTACTTCAGCACACCCTCCAGGAGTTCCTACAGTAAGTGCTTCCTTCAGTTATCGCTGCATGTCCCACAAACAACAATGGGAGCACAGCTAATCGGTGCCTTCTCACTGGCACAAAGTGCCGATCCTTCTTTCCTGGTACCTGGGAACATATCATGGAACGATCCGATGGGGAAGAACAATCTTCTCTTCCTCATCTTTTTGTTTTCTGTATTAAAGACTGGAGCGAGTCTCATGTGACGCCCCCGCAAGACCCGGCCGCCAGTCTTGGGAAAATGCTGGGGACAGGGGGGATCGGGCCAAGGGAAACTGCATCTGAGTTTGGCGCGGCGTTGCATGTCCGAATACAAGTACATACTACATAGTGGAGAGCCTTTCGTCGTCGGGTTAGTTTTTTGTGATCTGGTTAGTTTTCAGCAGTCCCGTGATTCGGTTTTCAGCTGCACAGCTGGTAGGGGGGCGTTTGCTTTGTTTCTTTTTTTGCACAGCTGGCAGGGGCATTTACTTTCTTTTTTTTTTTTTTTTGGCGCCGCGTCCAGTTGGTCGGTGACCTCTTAGGGCCTTCCTCCACTACTCTGCAAAATGAGACTGAATCTAGCACCGGAACATGGAAAGATACAACGCCGTTTCACGTGGTTTCTTTTTTCACATGGCTTCTTTATTTTCTGTCGTTTTCCTGGGCCCTTCGGCTCCACGCCCCTCCACATGCACAAATTAATTTTGGTGATGTATCTTTCCATGTTCTAGAGGAAGATTTGTTTCTTTTTTTTGCCCTTTTCTTGGCCAGTAGCGGGCCCAGGGATTTTGCTGCACTACTCTCCACACGCACAAAAGGCGTGCATCTTTCCACTTTCTCCATGTTTAACATGAGAACGAATCCTCCTCTAGAACATGGAAAGACAAATCGCAATTTTTTTTCTCTTTTGTGCATGTAGAGGGTCGTGGAGCAAAGGCCCAGGCCCCCCTACTGGCCAAATGTCCACGCAAGAACCAACCCTCTTTTTCCTTAGGGTGGCGGAAGAACAAATCCTCCTGTAGAACATGGAAAGATACACTGCCAATTTTTATTTTTATTCCCCCCCCCTCCTCTCTGACAGCCTGGAAATGTGATCAGCAGGGTGATGGCCTTTAGATACCATCATTGAACTGACAGGCCCCGGGCAATTCAGAATGATCTTACTCTTTTCATCTGAGGGTATCTGGACTGGATTCGAATTTGAGTCTGTATTTCAACAGTGCAGGGGTGTACCAACTGAGCTAGGCCCGTTGGTGATTTGTGGTATTTTGCTCATCTGCTTCCAGTGGAGTTCGAACGGTTCAGGCCCTTCAGGGGTGTACCAACAGAGGGCCAACTTACACTACCACGACCTTAAGTGTGCCCGACCACATTTACGGCCGGAATTATATGCATCTGGCACGATTCCGTCCAGAAATAAGTAAAAACATGGACCATTTCTTGATTTATGTGTGTCATCCTTGCACAGGGGCCATGCTAATCTTCGCTGTGAGGACTGGCTGGTGCGTTCAGGTTTGGCTTAACATTTTTTTTGTGTGTGTGCGTGTGGTTTAACTCTCTGGGTTCACTATTATACCACCAGCCTGTTGACATGGTCCTCCTTCGCATTTTATCTCAACCCCGCCCCTGGCCCGTGGCTTCGCCGCACTGGGTCCAAGTTGTTTTTTCAAAGAATACGACCTTCTTCTCCTCATATATGGGGGTTTAGTATTTTTTTACTGCGCTATTTTATTCTCTCACTCCATCCTCACACTAACTACCCATCCAGCCGGGAACAGTAGCAGACAGCAATCCAACCCTGGAACAGTATCAGACAGCCACCCCAAGACTATACTATACAATATGGAGGAGGTTTGCTTTGTTAGGGTTATGGGTCTGCATCTCCCTGGTCTACTCCCTTAGTATACTACTACCTACCCCCTCAGGGTTGAACCTAACCCCTACTGTGTTCACCCAAATACAACGTACAGTCATTATAGCTGTATTTGGGGCAGATTCGAGTCTAGATGCAGCAATAATGACCGTACGTTGCATTCGGGTGAAGACGGTAGCGTGGATGGAAGGGGGTACCAAGCCATGGTTACCCCTACCAAGACCCACTAGGGCGGGCGAGCCGGCTATCTCAGGCAGTGAGACCAATCCTCTCTTCATTTGAAATGAGATCGGAAAACAATGCATTCCACAAGAAGTTATAGAAAACTCGGAGAACAAGGTTTGTCTGGAGACATCCCAACACAGCTCATGAAGTAAAGGCCACTCTCAACTCATTACAGCACCCTGTTCCTTTTCGAGGTTGTGCGCAAAGACTCTCTCTCTCTCTCTCTCTCTCTCTCTCTCTCTCTCTCTCTCTCTCTCTCTCTCTCTCTCTCTCTCTCTCTCCGTGTTTCCCCGCAGTGCAATCAACACAATCCGCCTCCGATATTACAGCAGATGATGGACACAGGATGGTGACGTTCTGGCTCGCCACCACTGAAACAGACCACCACCATTGTGTTTGTCTGAGCCATAACGGAATGACCACATCCGCCCTCTCAAACGCCATAAGCTAAATTATCTATTCCTAACTTCAGCCCCAAAATTGAGCAAGGTGTAGACGATGATCTCAGGTCCAGTGGGTTCAACACTCGTAGTTGAGCAACGCCCTCAACGAACACAGCAGGACACAGACTGAATCTCACAACAAGTCTTTCTAACACAAATCGATTTAACCTATATATCAATATAAGAACTGTTGAGTTTTGCAAGCTGTGACACGACACTCGTTTCTAAGAAAGGGACCAATGTAAGAGCTTCTGGGCGGCTGTGACCAGAAGAGGAGATCCTGATTTCCATTTCCGAAGAGGGGAAGGAATCAACGGATTGTGCGATATGTCGTGTCCTGCGGAACATCCGTGAAAATTCGGAACGATACAGAGAAGAAGATTAGCATAGCATAGCCCCTGCGCATTCAACGATGACACACATAAATCTAGAAATGGTCCAAAACTCTCCAAGCTAAAAACAAAGAAAAGGAGTGTGTGCGACGTATGCATTCATCAAGATCTTCTCAAGCAAACATGCAGCCATTTGTACTCTCCCTGCCTCCCTCATGGCAGAGGTCTGACTGCATACAAGCATCCAACATTGCCACATCTGAGAAAGGGGGGAAAGGGAAAGCAGTTGAGGAAACTCAAAGCTGCAGAACCATCAGTTGCAGTCTAATATCTTGAGGAGAAAGCAAAGTGTGGCAATGCACAAGCTGATTGGAAGTGGAACACAACCATTCTGCAACCATTCTCTTGACTCTTGAGGAGAAAAAGCAAGGGACACATACATATTGACTGAAAGACAGCTGACCAAGCGGAGCATGTCGGACCACATACATACCTCACTCTCGACCCTTGTGAGAACAGACACCCAATCAGCAACCGTTGGCAGATATGTGACTGAAACCAACTTGTGAAGGTCTTGCAGTAACTCAAATATTGCGGAGTTATCTCTGGTTTCCTTCACTGCGATGTCATCCTGCGTGAGAGAGAGGGGGAAGAGAGAGAGACACAGAGAGAGAGAGGGGGG